AATTCCAGTCGGGTTCGTTATATTCACTTTTGGAAAGGTACAAATCCAACTCTTCTCCCCCATCTATCGGTTAATTAGTATTAGTAAAAATCATTGTTATCTCAAAAACATTCTTAGAATTTAAAAATATTTTCTGGCTTTAAATAACCTGAAAAGGATCAGCCGTAAAAAAACAAAAAACAAATCAATCTGAGGGTATGATTAAATTTTTAATTCTATTCTTATATATTCTCATATATTTAATATTATTATGTAGGTATCTTACTTATTAAAAAACGCAGATTGTGTGTGTGTGTGTGTTTGTGTGTGTATGTGTGTGTCTACGTTTATATATTGGATCGGATTTCCTACATTTTTCAACCGATTTTAACAAAACTTCACAGGACTACGTAAAATTACCTTGCGGTGGTTCTGACAGCGCCAAAAATTGAAAAAACACAATTGTTTTTGCACGAAATCAGTTTGAAAACACGATTAAGAGGCATCACGAGAATGAAAGGGGGACAACTCATATCGAGTTATACTTTTTATAAAACTCAGGTTGTGTGTGTGTGTGTGTGTGTGTGTGCTCGTTTATATATGGGATCGGATTTCCTACATTTTTCAACCGATTTCAACAAAACCTCACTTTTTGTGGCAGGTAGTGTTTCTTATTGTCTTGCACACTTTTTTCTTTATTTTTACATTCAGAATGCTTTAAAAATTCCATTTACAAGACAATTGTTTATAATAAAATTCTATTCAATCGATAGACTCATAACGATTGAAAACAATGTTTTTGTTTGAGTTTGGGTTTGACCAATTCGTAAAAAAAAAAAAAAAAACTAATTAAGATATGCGTGTCCGTCAACCTTAAACAATAATCTTTGTCAATTTTATTTTTCAGTCTTTATGATGGTCGATACTTGATCTATCTCTTACTGTTACATCCCCGGGCAACGTCGGGCTCTACTGCTAGTTATATATATATGTGCGTCCATGTCACAACAGGTTGTGGAACAAGGTCGAAGTTTAATGTCGGTTCTTTGGCAGCACTTTAGAAAAAATTTCTCAATCTCCCTTGGCACTTTCCCTTTGTGCTCCGAGTAATGAGCCCAGCCCTCTCCCGAAGGTGAGGTACTGTTTAATGACCCCACTGGGACTCGAGCTGTTTGAATATCATTATATAGGTATTTAACGGGGCCCTCAAGTCGCAAGCGTACGTGACAAAAGGTCGTGGTTTAAGGTGGGTTTAACGGGTATACTGCGCAAAAATTGCGCAAGATCCCCTAGGCACCTCCCTTTTCGGGGAAACCTCAGGTGCCCCTCCTGAAGGAAAGGGACTGCCTGGAAGTGGGGAAGACCTCCCTGGACGTGGGCATGAAATCAGAAGAATATAAATCTCATCCCAGAGGTCGGGATCGCATAATATTATTAAATATTAGCATTACATATTATTTAAATTTTTATATATCGGTATATGATTTATATATTAAATTACTATTATTTAGAACGGATATATAATTTAAAACGATTTAATTGGTTAAACCAGTGCTTCCTAAACGGTGTGGCGCGCCTCATAGGCGCGGCGGAAGAGGATAGCAGGTGAGGCGGAATGATTGAAAGACTATCAAATATTTAGAAACAATTTTAAAAAAATCATATGCCAAAAATAAATATGATTTCAAAATTTAAACTATTATTATGGATTACTTATAATTGCATGCATAAGTCCAAGTATAAATAAGTATAAATAATTATTGACCGATTTTATCATTATGATATTTTTGCATTATATCAAGTATTAAGAATATAGTAAGTAGGCTCCGCAAATTGAAGGAGAGAGTTATCAATAATAATATTCTGACTTCGAATCCGCGGTTATCTCCCTTTAACCTTCTCTCTTATTTTATTTTTTTTATTTTTAAATGTACTTTTTATCACATGAAAATTTGGTGAGGCGCGAGCAAACTTTCATTCTGAAAATGCAGCCGATAGAAAAACAGTTCGAGAAACCAAGGAGTTAGACAGTAAAATAGTGCGCAACACTTTTGGCAGGCTCAACAGTTATTCGCAGCGTAGCATACAACCTTATCAAATATTCTTCGTTTCATGGTTTTGTTGAAAATTTACCTAACCAAAAAACTGGAAACGATTTACATGACGATCTTGCTAATTGTCACACTACGGAAAAGCTCTCTTTCTATTAGTTGTTTTTTTTTTTTTTAAATAAGCTTAATCTGACATAAAGCCATACAAAACTTTGTTAAATACTCAATAAATTGGAAAAACGATTCACATGACGAGCTTACTGATCGTTACGCTACAGAAGGGCTTTATTTTTTATTTAAATAAGCTTAATCTTATTATAAAACGCAGATTGTGTGTGTGTGTGTGTGTGTGTACGTTTATATATTGGATCGGATTTCTTACATTTTTCAACCGATTTCAACAAAACTTCACAGGAATGCATAAAATTACCTTGCGGTGGTTCTGACAAAATGGTAAAAACACAATTGTTTTTGCACGAAATCAATTTGAAAACACGATAAAACACGATTCTGTCGCCAGAATGAAAGGGGGACAACTCATATCGAATTATACTTATTATAAAACCCAGGTTGTTTGTGTGTGTGTGTGTGTGTGTGTGTGTTCGTTTATATATGCGATCGGATTTCCTACATTTTTCAACAAAACTTCACTTTTTTTTGGCAGGTAGTATTTCTTATTGTCTTGCACACTTTTTTCTTTATTTTTATGTTCAGAATGCTTTAAAAATTCCATTTACAAGACAATTGTTTATAATAAAATTCTATTCAATCGGTAGGCTCATAACGATTGAAAACAATGTTTTTGTTTGAGTTTGGGTTTGACCAATTCGTAACCTCCCCCCCCCCAAAAAAAAAAACTAATTAAGACATGCGTGTCCGTCAACCTTAAACAATAATCTTTGTCAATTTTATTTTTCAGTCTTCATGATGGTCGATACTTGATCTATCTCTTACTGTTACATCCCCGGGCAACGCCGAGCTCTACTGCTAGTCTGAAATAAAGCCATAAAAGTTTTGTTGGAAACTTAGCTGATCAACAAACTGGAAATGATTTACATGTCGATTTTGATAATTTTTATGTCACGGCAAAGCACTAATTTTTTTTTAATCTGACGGAAAGCACACCCTGTACCTGTATCTGTAACGGTATTCACCCGAGGTGGGTTGAGCCGGCTCCAATATTGGAGTTTCATGGGAATTTGGAATTCACAAGCGGTCCCCAACCCGCATGTATAGCACATGAGATTTGATTATAGTGGTGAAGGTTTCGTGCAGGACCATCCACACTGAAGGGCCGAGTACAGAGACCTGGTGCACTACGTGCCACAAGGTCCCCAAACAACCCTCCACAGGTTTTGAATTCAGAGTTTTCCTTCTCCTAGACCAGTTGCCATCCAAGGCTATAGAACCCAGTCCTGCTATTTACCCATAGCTGGAGGGAGAAGAAAGAGGATTCACACTTTTCCCAAGGGTGTTAGCACGTAAGTGAATGTAATGGATTCGACTGGAATTCGAACTCGGCTCTCCGATTCCTCAATCCAAGCCGCTATCCATTACTCCACCGTGCCTCCTTACGTAAACCACACAACTCGAACCGAACAAAATTATACTCATGTCATACTCCGAAATTATCGCACTCCGACAAACGCCTGTCGTTCAATTGTGACCACTTATTCATATATACTGACTACCCCCTCTGGGATGAGGTTGAAACAATAGACAGAGAGCATCACTTGAAAATACGAAAACTTAAGGAATCAGCACATATGCTAGGCTACAAAAATCTCCTGAGCCGACCAAGCATAGATATGAATACAATATGGGAACCAGTAATATGGAGTGCTAGAAAAAACCAATGAATAACAACAAAGATTGCAATATAAGCTCTGGTAAAAAATGCAATAATAATAATAATAACAGAAAAATTGCAATATGGGCACTGGTAAAAAATGATTTATGAGACAAGTTTATAAGTCTCAAAAATTCATGCACAGATGTCCTCAAGGACACATGACCCAATGGATAAAGACGTTGGTTAGATTCAGTGACTAGACCCAAAGAGTTGTGAGTTCAATACCAGGCCACAGCAGTGGTGAACCAAACTTGGAGAGTTGAGTTAAACTGAGAAGAGGCATGGCACGTGGAACTAGACCAATCTACCCCGGTGGACGAAATAAAGGGTTCGACTAGAAATTCCAATCACCCGAAAAAGCCGTGAATATGAAGACGAGGATAACAGTCCGAATAATGTAAATGTGTTCACTTAAAATAACTTTGTGTCCCGACTACAAAAATTTAAGCGTGCTACTAGACATTGAAATAGTTAAATGTAACCGCCACTTCTACTCCAACAGCTTCTTTTCTCGCACTTACCGCCTGTGGAACACCCTTCCGTTTACTTGCTTCCCTGATAACTACAATCTTCAAAAATTTAAATGCAACGTCAGTCGCCATCTGATGTGTTGAACTCCGTTCATCTTTAATGCTTTCCTCATCTCCACTCGTATACACAGTTTTATCTTTCACCTTCACTCTATGTAACACCTCCACCCCTGCGAACCAGTGCTACTACTGGCTTGCTTGGGTTGAAATGCTAAAAAAAACCCCAAAAAACAAAACAAACAAAAAAAAAAAATTTTTTTCTTTTTATTAAATTATAATTATAATCCTTTTTTTTTCCTTGGAATTTATGCGTGCAGAGAAACGTTCATTTCCTGGGAAATGAAACACGCCGACTGCCTTGAAAATAATGTCGCATGTTTCTTATTAAAATACTTGCCTATATATATATATATGAAGAAATATAGTTTTAAGGTGTGCTGTATTTATGGGATAAAGTGCTTAATATCAGAGATAGAGCGTATGTAAATATAAATATAAAAGTGAACATTGAAGACAAAACTCTCCCCTCTGAGTGTTCACTTCAATGTTCACTTACCTGGCTTATGTCAGAGGGTATTCCCCAGACGA